TTTCGCTCAGTTTTAGGCCTGACTTAATCGCGTAATTTCATACAGACATTCATGTGAGTTGAGCCTGTGCGAAGCTGTAGCTTAGTTTATAAGTACAAAAAGAGCGTTTTCTTCTTTCAGCCGTATCATGAACATACCGCCTGTGTTGGACACAGCAGTCCCATCAACCGTTGTTCGTGCACATCCGGAAGGGAAATCACTGGTGCTTGCTGTGCTCCTCCAAGACACTGTACTTGATCTTCATTATGACTCAGTTTTCGATGCCTGTCCGATCTGTTCTTGCAACGGCAACATCAGGGCAAAGGTCAGAATTCATCGTTTTGTGCATAAAAATCCCTCAGCAGCGGGCCAGTTCAAAATAAACTTGGCTGAAGTCACTTTGCTGAAGTGCTTTGTCGTGAAATTTAGAAAATTCCTTCTTTCGTCAAATTTTCTTTCAAAAAAATAATATAGCTTCGCGGGAGGAGTCTAGATTTATGTCCTAGAAAAAAGATAAACGAAGTTACGGAAGAGAAATGTGGAAAAACTTTCAGAGTGAAAAGACTTAGACGGAAAAAACAAAAATTAAGAGTTAGCAAGTAAAGAGTTTGGAAGTAAATGAAGATAAAAGACGTTCAGTAGAAATTAATTTATCCCGTGCTTATGCCAAGAAAATCAAAAATTGATCTTTTTGGTTTTTTGAGTGAAATGCAAATTTTTACAGGAACTCGGCGTATACATTACTCCACCAGAAGTACTGAGACAGTCGCCAGCTCAACAGCAGCTCATTGTCAGCAAGCCAACAAGCGGATTTTATAATAATACCTCAAATTCGTGTAACTGTGGCTTCAGGTACCTTTCAGCGTTTTTGATTTTCATGAAAACAGAAGAAAGAACGCAAACAGTTAATAATCGAGAAACTGTAAAATTTCTGCTAAGTACGTTACCACCAACAAAATATACGTTTCAGCGCTGTACGCCATCGGTATTTGAGCATGAAAGCTGGATTATTTGCCGAAGATGCGAAAGAAGCTACAGATATCACCGAAACACAGAACCAGCCAACTATTCCTCATACGATTTGGTTTGACTCAATGAGCGGCAGGTCAGTTTTATTT